CTCTGAGATTCTGAAGGATAAATCACCCAGAATTTTAACCTAAAAACAAGCTAGTTGGCTAAAGAACAGGAAGGAAGGAGGATTAAATGCAAATTCTCACAATGGAGAAATGGAGTCATCTAAGGTTCTTTACTGGGACTGGTGCTTTTTACTTTGTTCATTAATGGTGTAAGCTTCGGGGCAAAGTAGTGAGGCACTCAAGTTTCCAGAAAAAGGAAATAGAATTACAACAACTCCAGACAGGATCTCTCCAACTGGATGGATTAAACTACAGATTATAACTGCTAAGTATAAAGAGACATACAGTGGAGCAAAGCCTTCTAACCTCACATATATGGTAGGGTCTGTACTAGCAATAACTTACTAGGAAAAAGATCTTGGAGTCATGGTAGACCAAATAGAAACGTCATTTCAGTATATACCAACTCTGAAAATGGTCAGTTATATGATAAAGAATATCAGGAAAGCAATCCAAAATAAATTTCTAATATTGTAATGTGCTTATACAAATCTACTGAAAGACCACACTTTGCATACTATGGACAGGTCTGGTCCATGAATCTCCAAACTATCAGAAAACTGAAAAAGATGCAGAAGGGGAACCAACATGATTAGCTGGCTAAATTACTTTCAAAATGAGGAAAGATTTCACAGTTGAGATCTTTTATTTAGTAAAAAAGAGAAATATGATAAAGGTCTATACTTTATACTAAGAGAATAAATTTGTCAAACTGCAAAGTGCCACAAGAATAATTATATTTGCACCAAGTCTTTGTTTCTACATATAGAGCTAATTCTAGCATTTTAACTACCATTATGGCATGATTAAAAAGCAATTTCATAATTGGGACATTATTTAGAATTATACGTTATACAACAAGAGGCGTAATTATGAACCAATTTTGTGAGAAGGAATGTAAAATAAAGCAAAAGCATGTGAAGTGCACCACTGACTCGAGCTCCTTTGATACTGGCTCAGTACATCTTGCTGTGAAAGACCCACACATTAACCATCTGATGCAAGCAGGACTTATTTCTATTGGTTGCTTCTCTCTTTCCACATCAGAAGTCTCACTCCTAGAGTAAGACCAGTTTACTGTAACTCCAGAAAAAGATCCCCAGTATCTGTGGGACTAGAAGGCCACTCACTATTTGCTGGAGAGGCTGCGTGTTTTTTTTTTTTTTGTTTTTTTTTTAAGCAATGTAAAATTCAATTTGCAGTCCATAAATCTGAAAGGCTACAAGTGCAGGGAGAGGGGGAGATTTGAAAACTGCATCGAGACATGGAACTCAGTGGCACTTTTGGAGAGCGACCCAGGGTTGCAAGTATCTTCAGTTCTACGTGGCAACACAGTATTGGTAAAAAAAGGAAGGGAATGGGCATCCACCCTCCCGGTTTCTCAAAACAACACTCCCCAGCGTCTACACCGCTGAACTGCCCTGTAGTCAGCTTTAAAAGTTCAGCGGCGGCGGAGAATCAACAAAGTAGAAGGGCTTATTTATTTCTCCAATTTATATTCCGTATTAATTAGTCCAAAGGACTCTAAACTTCCAGACCATTTAAAGAGAAAACTATAAACTTTTTATGTAACAGGATTTAAGAGACACTGCCCCTCACAGTCCTAGTTAAAGGCTCGATACTAAGGCACTTTCCAGGTACCGTCTAACTCCGTGTATGGGCAATATGTTGTTGCACCTAATGCGTCCCCAGAGAAAGACGACGAAAACCAATCCAGAAACAGGCTCCTGCTGCCACTCTACAGACGGGCAAATAAGAGACGCTCTCCCCAGGTTTACCCGGAGAGTAACGAGCCCACCCGTTATCAGAGGCGTGAGGCTCAAGGCGGACACAAAGAGGACCCTGCGGACGCACACTCTGAGGGGGAAGGTAGCCAGCGGATCCCCGGTCAGCCCGACAGCCGCCTCCTCGGGAGCGGAAGAAAGGGAAGCGAATGCCGAGCCGGCCACGGGGAAAGCCGCGTCTGGTCCACCAGAGAGTGGACTGCTGGGCCGGCTGCGCTTCTCCCCGCTCACCTTGTCCAGTGCGGAGCGGGGCGGAGATGGAAGGGACGCGGCCCGAGCCGAGGGGGAGCCGCTTCCCTCGGCGAGCGCAAGCTCCCTTCATTCAAAGGCGGAGGCGGCCTCCTGCTCAGCCGTTGTCGTTGCCGCCGCCTCGGCCATCACCTCCCTCACCAGGCCGCCGCCAAACTCTGCCTTACGGTCACCCAGGAGACCCGCTCTTCTAGGCCCGCCTCTTCCGGCCACGCCCCTTGCGACCAGCCGAGCACCGAGTAAGGAACAAGAGGCAGGAAAAACCAGGAAAGCGCAAGCGCCCGGGGGCGCCTTTCAGGGCTAAGTGTGGGGCGGGGGATGGAGCTCAAGAGCTCGTCCACGTGACTGGAAAGTTTCATGCCTATTGATATATAGCCTTGGCGCATTCAGATGTGTTGAACTACATCTCCCGGCATGCTCCAGTCAGTTTACCTCCGCTCCTCACTCGATTGAGGAAGACTACCACGAAAGGCACGGCTTGAACACGTGGGCTTGCAAAGTGATCGGTACATCTGGGAACGGTGGTTTGTGCCAGTCCCACACGTCAATCATATGTTCAGTTTATCAAAATGTATGTTTGACTTACTTTCAGTTAGAATCTATATTATAATGCGGGTGTTTCAAGTTCATCCTGAAACGAGAAAGGGGTCATTTGGGAAGCTTTCGCAAGTCAGAATTTTGCACACAAAACAGCTCCTAGAACAAAAATTACAATTGGATAGGTTTTGGCTTGGCCTCTTTCCTTGAGAGCAGGATGATTGCAATCCTATTCATGACAAATTCCTGACTGAGCCTAAATAGTTATTCAGAAGTAAGCTTGATAGAATTCAGTAAAGTTTGGTCCAAGGTACACAGCATTTATGTTTCTCTGTTCCCCTACAAAACTGTAGGGCAAGAATAGAAAACATTGTCCTCCAGATGTTACCCTACAGTTCCACAGCCAGGGGCAGCATACCTGACGGTGTGATGGGAGTTGTCACCCAAAACATCTGGAGAGCATAAGTTACTATGGCAGAGATGGGAAGAACCTCTTCAGTAAGTTTACACTTGCTCATTTCTCCAAGGAATTACTATGTAGCCTTGTATTATTGGCTGTTGTTTGCAAATTGTGTCTATTAGAACTTACCACTATCGGGAGAGACGGCACAGCACGTAAGACATATAACAGTGTGAACCTAAGCAGATTTATCCAGAAGTAAATCCTGTTTAGTTCACTAGGAACTGTTCTCAAATATGTAAGTACAGAATTGTCAGTGCAACACAGGTAAGCATTAAAACCAAATTCCACAGTAATAGCCTTGTCCTTTTGAAGCAAAAATAATCTCACTACTGACCTAGAAGTTATCCTTCGAAGAAAAACTTTGGGAAGTACTAGTGTGAAACAGAGCAAGGATTTGGTAGCATAATTCAAGTCTATTTAATGATAGCATGATTCAAGTGTATTTTCCTTAAGCAAAATTAACTGTCCTGTTATCAGTGGGTATGTGACATCTTCCAGCCACACTGGATCTACCGTTCCCACTGATTGTTGTTGAAAGGGAATCATTCTATTATTATTAGTATTATTATTATAACATTTCTATGCCGCCCCTTGCCGAAGCCTCAGGGCGGCTTACAATAAGACACATTGAAATACAGTTACTAGCTCAATTTTACATATGCATGTGCATGCACACAGGGATAGAAACATAACTGTGCCTATTCTTGCTAATTCAAATTTAAATGTGACAAGTCTTCCCAATCTGGTACCATCCAGATGCATTGGACTACAACTCCTGGTATACTCCAGTTAGTCAGCCAAAGCTGACTGAATGTGACTGATTAAATGGTCTCTAGTCCAAGGCAAGTTCATGCCACATGATTTTATTTATTTTTTTAATACAAAACTTTCTTCCTACATTCTATTTTCAGGATATTCATAAGAACTACAGGACCAAGGCAACATTCACTGGGACTTTCATTCCTTGTCTGTAATTGTGTCTCACGTTAAATGATGCTAATTGAAGGCTTCATATTTGCCTGAATAGGAATTAGAGAATTTAACTTTCAGTTGAGGCCTGCCATCAACTATAATAGCACTAAACAGAAGCTTCTTTAAGCCTCACTGAACTCAGGTGGACTTACTTCTGAACATCCAAACTATACTTCTGCAAACAAAAACCCTCACATTCACGATTCAGTTGCAATACCACACTCATTGATGTATGGGCTGCTTACCAACTGGCTCTGTGTCATGTCCTGGACCAAAGCTACTCAAATGTATATACAGGATAGTCCTGTGCATATTGACTCAGTATTAAATATCTTTAAATTCAAGGGAACTTTCAAATGGTAGCAACAGAAGTAGAATATAAGGAGATAAGTCAAATTGCACAAGTATTTTAATTCGAATTGCAAAGTTTTCAAATGGATCTTGGAATGCAGAGAAGCCATGATGTATTCACAGGCCTTCTAATGGTTAGATCCCACCCCCACCCCCCGCCTTTCTTTTTTGGCCCTGTGACTACACAGACTACAAACAGCAGAGGGAAGAACATTTGATTTCTAAGATCACTTTGCAATCTGAAGTCTTGCCAGCTGGAACTGAACATATGGCCAAAACTGCATTGTACCTCACAAATCTGACTTCTATTGCCATGGCAACTCCACATCTTTCAACTGGTTCACTTCACAATGATATGCCCCTTTAATATATCTATGCTATATACCATTTAATGAAGTGTTTGTGAAAAGCTAAGAGTAAACAGACTCCAGCAGGAATTCTGAATGTCACAATTCGCTATTATTCCTCCTTTTCTCTCTATTATTGTATTTTTTTAGCAGTTAGGACCAAATACGTGCATGTATTCCATCCAATAGGAATAATACCATTTCTCTTAATGCATTTTGTGGGAAACATTAAAAGACATCAGCAGACAGGGAAAAGATGGCGACACATGCCAACTGTGCTGAGTCGCATAACATCCTTTTAATCTCTTTCCAACATACACCCATAGCTTACATTTCATTGCATTTATGCTTTTTATTATTAAAATACCAAGGTTAAGAAGTCAATGTAACAAAGTACACTTCCAGTAACTAACAATTAAAAAAACATGAACTGTAATCCTAAAACATGGAACGTGTCTTCCAGTTTCTGGCATGATCCGCTTAATACAATACAATAAGATGCAAAAGCAAGAATCAAAGACTGGCGTGCTGGGCAAGGAACGTTCTTATTCTTTGAAGAAGCTCTTTCTTTACACTGTCAGGTACCAAGGCTGAAAGATAAGCGAGGTAGCAGGGGATGGGGCAAAAGAACGATGCGAGAAATGAGTGTCACCCTGCATGTGAAATTGCAGTTTGTAAGCATTCCAACTCTTCTTTCACACCCAAACATGGGCAAAGGTAAATCTACCAAAGTTTTAGACTTTGAACAGGCCCTGCCAACACGGCCAATTATTGGGAATGGTGGGAGTGGTAGGCCCGACCATCTACTTCTGTCCACCTCTGACTAGTGAGCCCACTTTAAAATTCCCTCAGGTTCATCTTATCTGCTTCGATATAACTGCAACCGCTGCCCAGCTTGTGCTCTATGCAACTATACATATTCTCCTACATCACGGCTGCAAAATCTTGTGGGACGCAAGATGCTGGTTCAGGGACTGCATGCATATACAAACCAACATATATACAGGTACATATACCCACACACTGTTTGGTCTTTCATCTCTGCTCCTAGCAGCAGTAAAGAAGGAATTACCCCTGTAAGACTTTTCTCCTTCCCATCCCTCACTGCTACTAGTTATGGAAATGCTGTCTGTATCAGAATTGCTGGAGAACAGCTGGAGGAGTGAATGCGAAGGTATCATGGGCAAGAGGTCCCCTTTGGGAGAGCACAGTTAGGACCCTGGAGAAGCGCAAGTTGTGCATTGTTGTCCTAGATGTACCAAATATGCATCCAGTTAAATCCAGGGTAGGATGTGAGGGCCCATGACACAACCACCTTAGTAGAGCTAAGCAAGTCTGCATAAGGTCAGTCCCTTGGTGGGAAGCTACTTAGGTACAAACCACCTTGAGTTTTATGATGGAGGAAAGGCAAAATGTAAACATAGTAAGGATGAGATCATAAGCATATTTAGCCAGAAAAAAGTCCTACAACTCTCAGCATTCTCCAGCCAGAACAATTTTCTCTCTGAATATGTGTAGGAGTGCAGCCTACATAAATACAAATTAAAAACAAACCAGTGGTTTATGCACAGGTCTCAGTGGAGAATGGCTGCTCTTACCTCTGCCTTTGGGAGTGATTTCAGCCACTAAATCATCAACAGTGACATGCTCTAGCCCTTTCTCTTTGATGACATCTAAGTGCAAGAGAACCACAAACAAGATTTACACATAGTTTAGAAAATGACAGAGACTTTCATTATAATAGCTCTTGACATGTGTAGGACATCTGCTGTTAACAGCAGAATCCAAGCTTCATGTCTGGGTCTGAACTGCTACAGTTACTCCCTGTAAGTGCACCTGGGGTTGTATCTTCAGGGCTCAATCCTATGCATGTTTAGACAGAAGAAAGTTCCTACAACTCACAGCATGCTTCAGTCAGCTGGCTGGAGAGATGATGGGATTTGCAGGACTTTTTCCTATCAATACATGCATAGGATTGTGCTCTTAATCACACACTTTTCTGTGCCTGGAACTTTCCCTTGCAAAAAATCAAATTGAGAAATAGAAAATAAATGTGCCCTCTTTTGAGCAGTGGTGCACTCCTTGCCTGTGGAAATTCAGATCAAGAACACTTTTGTGGGTCCTGCTTGCTTTTCAGCATTCATCGTGGTTTTACTTTAACTATAGTGCATGTATCAATACCATATTGTATTAATGCAGAAAAAGGGAAAGAGGAGACAAGAGAAGAGCACCTGAACCTCCTGTACACACCTGACCTCTTAACCAAGAAATTAGGGGTGTCCTGGATGCATGGAGCCTAGAACAAAAACCAAAAACTGTGGCACAGTCCTCTGAATGTTTATTCAGATGCAAGATCAATTAATATAAGTGGGGCTTCTCTCAAATAGGTGGGCATATAAGACTGCAGACTCTGACACCTTACATATCACCACTGGATTTATAACAACTAGAATGGGAGTGCAAAACACATGGCTCCTTTTTCAGTCAATGGTTAAAATACAGATGTCCAGGCTAGCAATATAAAAGCAATTCAGCTTGGGAGTGGGAATCCATTGGATTTCCTTGGCTTGGTTCCTTGGGTTCCAGCCCACTTTCTCTCTTCTCGAAGTCTGCCTCATGCTAAGCGATTGTGTGAATGTCTGGCAGGAAGGGAGTCCAAGCAAGTCCACAAGGCCAGCTTGTGTGTCTACTGTACAGGTTGAATTCTGCTTCTGCACATGTGACTTGTGGGCTTTGAGTATTTTGCACAAATAATGACATCCTTTGCCCAACAAATGATATATTTTCAGCAAGGTTGCCACTAATCTTCTCGAGTGTTTGCAGACTTGACCTCAGCTTGGCTTACTTCCTGGCCAGGGCCAAACTTAGGAAAGAGGCCTGACAAGCGTAAGAAAACCAAATTCCAGCCTGATCTTCAAATTCCTAGTCCAGGCGTACATTCTCATGAATGTAAGACTGACAACTTTGCTCCAGCAATACATTTTCAATAACTGACTATTACCTTTGCAATGTGCCTTCAACTGGTCTTTCCAACCACATTCAATTAATTTGGCTCTCAATAATTCTTTAAGTCTGTAAAAAGAGATAGCATTAAAGGCCTGCTTTTGAGTATATGCATATATATGTATGCAGCTAACTCAGGTAACCAGAAAAAGTTAAATGGGACTTGACTATCTCATCAGTGTTTCTCTGTTCCCATAAGGGAAATAATTTTCACCTATTCCTCCCTCTATCTGGCACATCCTCCCTCAGAATATCCCACACTATTCCCCCCAACCCCCAGGAAATTTTCAGGGAATACAGGTGAAGAACGGAATGGGAAATCCTGTTACATGAACATTTTCTTTTTAGAGATGGAAAGCTAAGATCCAAGCCAGTTACTACGTTTGAGCAGCCTTTCATGGCTCACTAAAGGTGAGGTATGGCTTGCTATGTTGTACAAACCTAGGGACTGTGGGTTTATGTAAGGGGTGCGTGTAGAATATGAAAAATCTGCCCAGCACCGGCATGCTGAGAGTTAAATAATTCATGTTGGGCTGTTTTTATTGTGAACTGGCACAATAGTTTTATAACCATTGCCATGCAATTATTTGCACATAAAGGTTCCTGCCCATCACTTCTCTATCCCACCACGCCAAGACTCTTAGTCTGATCTGCCACACTTCCTTGTCTCAGTTAATGAAAGGATGGCTCACCCTATGCAACTCCCACCAGCCCAAACCAATAGTGAGAGACACTAGGTGTTATGGACCATAACATCAAGGGGAAATGGAATTGCCACTTCTGATACATGATATATTCCTATATCCAAATTAAGAAATAATGCCCACCTACCGTTCCCGTTCTCCTGTTTCAATTAGCTTTTGGTTGATAGTTGCTCTCATTTGTGCATCTTTGTTCATTTTTCCCCCAAGCCTGAACGCAACCCTTTAAAAAGAAAGAAAGAGAAAACACAAGGGGAATTCATGATCAGAGAACATTCAACTTTCTCTCTAAGCTGGGTGTGCATGGGTGTGCACAATTGGTGACCCCAGAAATAAACACAGCCCCACTGGCGAATGTGTTTGCTTGACGGAAGCTTGAGAAAGCACCTGGTTTTGTCTCCTGGTAAGGACTGCAAAAAGGAGAGAGCTTGTCAAGCTGGGGCAGGCTTCCACCCGTGGCTAAATGGGCAGTGTTCCATTTGGTGAGTCAAAGGCTGCCCAAGCCTGATTTTCCAATGCTTTGTTCATTGGTTCATCGTTTCTAATCCAAAACAAAGCTATTCTTCCATCTGACACAAAGACCCCATTGGCAAGACAACAACTTCTCTTGTTGAGAAGGGAAGAGCCCATGAGAGCCCTAAACAAATGTCTTTTCTAGACCAGAGCAGTGAGGTCATATGCAACTGCCATGCTTTACTACTACCAGCTTTTATTAATTCACAACACTTCTGTAGGCCTGCATCTGTATCCCGTGTTCTATCCTGATGCTAATTCTACATTCAGAACTAAGACTGTCTCATCCTTTGCAATGACTCCAAGGCAAACGTACAGATAAGATTACAGCAGCTCAGCAGCTTCCAAGCTTTTGCCCAAAGCTCTGTTCAGTATTAGCACTTCCCCACAAAGCAGAAACTTGGAAGAAAGTCAAAGAAGTTGCATATTATTTTAAACGTCATAGTTTTAAACATACCAACTGATCTCAACATTCTTGAAAAACTAATTTTGACGATTTAAAATAATACCAGTTTTTTTCTTTCCCAAATAGTAATACCTTCTGTGTAATTGTAAATATAAACTTACAGAATCAGGAAGCAGTTCAGGCCCATACCAGAATAACAGCCCTGCCCAATGTGACTGCCTATAACCCTGACTTTGGCTACCTGTGTCTCTTGTTCCAGTTCATGAGGCGGAGAGGTTAGGAGGGATTGGACCACCACCATAATTACTCATATTACTACTCCTGGTGAACCTCCCTCCTCCCCAGAATCCCCCATTGACCCCATGCCAGCTCTCGGGCTAGAACAGAAAGAACTGCACTGGCTGCATGGCCAGGGTGGTGCCGATATGGTGCTTCTGCTCTGCATGGAGCTTGGTGTCTGAATTTTCCTGTGCACATCTTGACAGCATCTAGTCACTATAGGATTGTTGTGCCCACAGTTATCCTATCCACAAAATTTCTGATACAGATGCAAATCTGAAAGTACTGGGGGAATCTTATTCCCTGGAAGTAAGAAAACCCCCAAAGCATAACATTGTGCATCCCTTCTGCATCTTCTGCCTTCCTAACCAGAATTTAAATACAAATGTTGGCCTAATTTAGTAGCCAAACGGTAATTGATGAGTTACAGAAGACCTGTGTGGATAAAGAGAGGGACATGGTCAAATTCATACATTGGATAGGGCTTTGCAGAAGAAAGAATACCATACAACCTTAGCCAGTTTTGCCTGCTTTCAAACCTCCTCTGCCTCAGGTCCTGTGACATGTGCCAAGACTCAGGAAAGAGAAGGGATACCTTGCCTCACTTCATACTGGGCTTTGGAAAAGGAATGTAATGGCTAAAGCCCCATTATCAATTTCCCACCTTTTCCTAGGTCAGGTTCATACTTACTATATAAACTCACTTAGCCAGAGTTCGATGTACTAGATGAAGCTTCAATCATGTAAGCAACAAAATTAATCAGGAACTGAGATTTTGCTTGTCATTATGTTTGAACTAGCAGCCACAGTTAAAAACTTCCAAACAAACTAGGCACAGGAATCAGATTTAAACCATGGCTTCTTTGGGGGCCCTTAACCATACCTAACAGGAAGTGATGATTGATTTGGGCTTCCTGAGTTCGTCGCCTGCGGGCAAAGTTTAATAATGTCCTAGTTTAATAAGCCAGGAAGATGGCTTCCCATGGCATCAAAACCTCTGTGCTGCGACCTGGACTCATACCACTTTCAGTTTCCAACCCCTCCTCCCATTTTGGGTACTCGAAGACTCAGGATAAATAAAGGATTGCTTTCCTACAATTGGTACAAAGATCGGTCACTTGAGGTCTCTGAAACCCGCAAAAAAAGTAGAGCAAATACTTGGAATCTTTGCACCTGGCACCTAATATAAAGGCTGGTGTTACCGGATACCAGATTAGTGGATTATCAATCTCACTGGAATTTAGTGGAATTTACTTTCTAATAAATCTGCTTCGGATTGTAGCTTGGTAACCACTTGAGCCGATCTCCAGTTCACCATGATTGCTTTGCTTTTTCTGCAATTGTGCTAGCCTTCTCCATCCTGGCTGGGGATGATGGGGAGTGCAGTATAACCCTTCTGGAGGACACCCGGATGGAGGAGGCTGGTTTACGCAATTCATCTTGGAAAAGGACTGAATCTATTAGCCTGGAATACACGAGATCTACATTTACACACCATTATTTTTGATAGGGTGACCGGCATGCTATCCGTAAGCTACGGAGAGTCTTCTCCGTTCGCTACCCAACAGCCGTGACGAGGTTTTTTTAAAAAAAGAAAGAGACTTTCCCAAACATCCCAAGCAACTGGAAATGGCAAGGGTGGCTCAAGAAAAGGGAAAAACGGGCTGCTGTTCAGTAGAAGGATACTCCAAAGCCTGCAAGAGGAAGGAAACCCTCCACTATCTCCGCTCCACCGACAAACGGTTTACCTGTCCCGCAAACAACTGGATTCCTCCCCTTCCCCTTCTGCGAGGAAACCCAGCTTCGAACTCGCGACACCGTCGCAGTCTCCCTGGCGCCCAAGCTTAACCCAACAATCAGCCCAACGCCCTGCCCGACACCTCGCAGACATACACGGGAAATGTAGTCCTTGACTACTGTGCAGTACATGCTGGGTTCCTAAACAAAACTACAATTCCCAGAAGGCCATATTTCGCAGCAGCTCTTACAGCTTCTTCCGCATTCTTCCCATTATAAAACTACATCCCCCATCATTCCTTTCTGTACTTTTTTCCCGTTTAAGGCCGGCAGTCGCACGTGAAAAAGAAGGTGGACTTAATAGGTGGACTTAACGCATAGACTTAATAAATGCAAAAGTTTTTATAATGCAACCTTACGCATATTTGTTGGAAAGTAAATCGCACTGAGTTCAATGGAGTTTACTCCCAGGTGTGCGTAGTCCTATGCACACTTAACACACTTACGTTGGCATAAACCTTTGCAGATTTGTAAGCTGTCATAAATCTGAAAAAACATGATATAAATGTGTTATGTCGTTAAGGTACCACGGCAATTTGCGTCGTTTAAACACTATAACTGTATCCTAATGCAAAATTGTTGCACTGCTTTACATTTTCCTATCTTTACTAAGAAGGAATTCTCATTAGAGCTCAATCTTATGAATACTTCTGCAGGAAAAAAAGTCCTACAACTTCCAGCATGCTTCAGCCATCCATACGTTGCTAGGATATGCTGGGAATTGTAGGACATTTTCCAGTTTCAGTATGCATAGATTTGTTCCCTTATATAGGAATAGACTTGATCTCGTCATTAGGGTTTACTTCTGAGAGTATTTTTAATGGTCATGCTCCGGCCGATAGAACTTGCGGGGACGGAGTGGATTGTAAAGGATGGGCAGCTCGCAGAAACTACCTCTCCCAGCATGCCCACTCGGTTCCCAGGAGCCTCAGCGGCTGTGCCTGAGCCGTCGACTTTTAGTCACGGTTTCATTGGCCGGAGGCCTCCGACGCGTGGAAGAGGCATGGAGGCCGCCGCGAATTGCTCGCTCCGCGTCAAGCGGCAGCTCCTGGACCCCAATTTCGAGGGCTACAAGCTCTCGCTGGAGCCACTGGCTTGTTACCAAGTGGGGCTAGAATCCCGTGAGTGCCGGGGAAGGGGCAGGGGCCTCCGTGTTGCTCCGGGGAGGGGACCTCCCCAAAGCATCCCCAGCTAAGTTGATGCCTTGGTTTCTCCCCCAGCCCCAACCTTTTTTTTTTTTTTTTTGCTTTTTCCTATATTTGTGGAAAGTGAAGTAAAAACATTGGCAATAAAATAAAATTAGAATAATACGAGCCATTAGTGATGGGATTCCATGGATCATTACATCCCTAGCGGGCCTTAAACTTAAAGCTTCTGGGGTGTTTGGCGGAGGGAGGGGTATCATTGACTTAGTTCAGGCAGCATATAACTTTCTGGGCTATGGAGAAGTCTAGAAATGTTAAAAATAAACATGAAAACCCACAGTCAAGTACAGGTTCAGCATGCGTTATTGTTGAAATGCAGGTTATTGTTCTGTCTGAACCCAGCTGTGTTAAGAAGCCTATAAAGGGAACCCATAGTTGTTGAGTGCTAAACTATGCTTTGTTATGTCTCCTGAGCACCGATAACATAATGCACATTTCAACAACAGCCTACAGTTCAGTGATAGTCCATACAGAATGCTTGATTGTGAGTTTATCATGTTCTCCAGCCCAGTTATTACCTCCAGATACCTCTTGAAATAGGGCAAGAAATGGCCTTGAAAGGATGTTCAGGTGTGTTGATTTTGGTGTGACTGAAGGTGCAAGTCCCTGCATGTTGAAACAAGAAAAAGCCTTATAATTGCCAGCATGACTGACCAGGGCATGCTAAGAGTTGTAGGACCTTCCCTATCTTCCCTTTATGGTATGGGACCCATGAGGAGCAATCCCATTCATATTCAGACAGGAAATGGGCCCACAACTCCCAACACCCCTCCGCTAGTATAGCTTATATTGGTCATACTATTGTAGTTTGTTGCCAGTGCTTTTATTCTACTTCCTGTAAACATAAACTGAAGAAAAAAAGGTGGAGGGAGAGAAACTGGTGCATAATCTTAGGTGGGAAGGCTTTAAGATGGTTCGCTAGCACTTGTTTACATAATTAACTGATGACTGCTAGGAGCTATGGAATTTTTTTTCTGTTTAAGAATGTGTAGAATTATACTTTTATTTGACTCCAATTTATCTCAATCTACCTCAAAAAAGATTCTCTAGATGAACTGTATACAAGTAAGAGAATAGAATAGGTACTGTACAAACAGATGAGAAAATAAAATTTCATGTTTTAATACGTGTTTATGTACCAGTACATGGAAAGTGCAATTAAAGAAAGAGTACAGAACCTCTATAGCCCAAGGGCTGAATTCCATTCAGAGATGCTTTCAGTGGCTTCACCCCAGTGTTAATCAGGGTTAAAAGAAAAAGTGTAGGGTCAAAATTGCTTTCTATCATTCTTTTTGCCTTAAAACTTTTAGACAACTTTCTCAATGCACTATTATCAGTTAGTCTTTCAGAATGGCAAAACACAAAACAACCCTGCACAAAGCTAGGAAACCACCAGACAATAGCTGGCTTGGGGTGAAGGGGGTATGACCACCCACAGAGACCTGAAGGGTTGAACTTGGACCACTGGCTGTATCAGAGTTGCAAGAGTCACTGAGAAATATGTTCTCTAACTCTCTTCCTGCCCCCTCAGTAAAGTTTCATGTTTAAGGCAGGTTAAAGTCTTATCTGGGGGCACTATAGAAGTTTTTAACCAAATAGAATTAATCCACCACTCTTTATTTTCACTTAAACACACCCAGCCAGATGTTTCTTTGATGCAATTAATTAATAGACTATGAAAGGATGAAGTAGGCTAACCACTAATGCAGCTTTCCCTGACCAGGAGCCCCCCAGGATTGAGTTAAATAGGGAGAATTGAACATCAGGAAGAGTGTGTATGATAATAATCTGGACCCTAATATTTCACTGCTGGTTTATAATGGGTTAATACATTGTGGCATGTTTAATCCACAGGGTGGCAGTGCAAGCAAAGTCTTGCCTTACGTATCATCTGTAGTGCTTTATCCTTTAGAACAGGGGTCTCAAACTCAACTGACATGGGGGCCGCTGGAAGCTAGGTAATCTCTTGCTAGTGCTATGAAATAACTTCTTTATTTCCAATCTCTCATTAGGAATAGATACAAGGAAGGGATAGGCACTTCAGTAGACGATACAGGTTGGAGACCAGTCAATTGAGCTTAGTGGTCCCTTTACTTTTCACACTCCCAAGTAGGTATATCACACATTATGCATAAGAAATTGTTCAGAGATTAGGGAACCTGATTTAGGAGCCCAGAGTCCTAGGAACAGAACCTTAAGGATACCTGCATCAATATTTACTCTGTGTGTGTGTGTGTGTGTGTCTTCATTACTTCTGAAGGAATTTTGAATATAGCATGGGAAAGCTGAAGACACATGTTTTCAGGTGAAATAGCCCTGAAGGTTCACCAGGTTCCAATAGTACTCTGCCGCTATTTCTTCTTAACAATGTTGAGATACCAAGCAAATGGAGGCTCTGAAAACAAATTTCTCAAACCCTTTGCAAAGTTACATCTTCCATAAGCTTACCTTTTGTCCGAAGCAGAAGATTGCCTTCTGTGACTTACTAGATCAGAGTCAATGTATTTACTTAACCTTTTTTTAACAATTACTCAAGTCAACTTTTATTTTGGACCAAAGTCCCTAAGGGATGCACCCTTAAGTAATCTCTTACTTCTGCTCTGCAAGTCAGTTGGCCATCTAGTTGTGGCACTTTAGAGAGGAAAAGGAGGAGGCTTCAGGTCTGACAGCCCAAGTCTCCTTTCCTCCCCACCCTTATGGAATGACCCTTTTACCTTTCGCAGGTCAATTCTGTGTTCTTGAAGAAGCAGCCAGTGCAATTCTTTCACTGCTGGCTTCATGAGAAAAAGGAGATCAGAGCACAAATCTACAGCTCCGAGGCTGGAACCCTACCTCCAACCTCAGATCTGGGAATCTGAAGAATCTTATGGCTATAGGATCATATGCTGTCTGGGGGCCAAGGATTACTCTGCCCAAATAGCCAAGAGTATCTGACTAATAAATATACTTAATACTTTAAAAATAAATTTAAATAATTTTCCATGTTTTCCCCCAGCGGTAGCAGAAATCAAACTTCGAGATGATCAGTACACCTTGGATCACGTGCGTGCCTTTGGCATGTATAATTACCTACACCTTGATTCCTGGTATCAAGATAATGTTTATTATGTGGACCAACTTGGAAGAGTCATGAATTTAAGTGTTACTCTGGTAAGATTACAGTAAATAAATAATGCCCAAATTTCTTATCTATCATGTGTCTAAGACCAAAGCTATAGTTTTTCCACAAAAATCTAAATTCTCCATGGATTCACCACAAATCAATTCTACTGCATTCAAAGCTTTTTTTGTTTTGTTTTGTTTTGTTTTTTGTTTTTTGTTTTTGTTTTTTTACCATTTCCTGATTAAATACTCTGTTAATTTTGCTTGGCGATTTCTGACTGTTCTTTATTGATGACACGGGATAAGGAGTATCCTTGAGAGATGCTCTTTGCTTTGATTAGCTTATTGTTGAGTAAAGGCATTGCACTCTTAATGGTTTGTGCATCTGGAAAGAGAGAAACACCAAAGCTGGTAGGTTATTTAGTGCACTGTGAACTATGACATTTGCTGTTTGCCATCTTGAAAGGCAGCCCGTGTGTTGCCATGTCATATGAATGTGGCTGCTGATGGTTATTTGAGGGTAAACAACCCTACAGCACACTGAGGGCAACAAAAGGTTGTTTTAACACCCAGTAATCTACAGGGGGTGGACTCACATGACGTGGCAACTGCTTAGGCAAGTGTTAAATATTCATGGCACCTGACACGCATCAGTGTATCATGAGAACCAGTTCTACAATGTCTTGTCATGAACCAAAATAATCCTTCCTTCCTTTCTTCCTTTAAGAAGGCTTGGGCAATCTTTTGCTCCCACTTAATTATCCCCTGTGAAGCTTCTCGCTCTCCTGCCCCCTCAGGTACACACCCTCTTTCCTGATGCACCCAGGCATGTACATGTCCTTGCTCTCTAACGTATACAGGGTGGGAGGTGAATGAAACCTTCCTGCCCTATGTGCTGAGTAACTTTGGAAAGGGGATCTTGCCAATGACAGCCAGTATGATCAGCCCCTGCACTCAGAGGTTGTCCCTGCTGTGGTGGAAAAAGACAGGAGCTCCAGAATAGAGGGACAAGGCCTTTGAAAATGGGGTCACTATGGTGACAGCTGGTCTTAGCCCTGTTCTCAGAAACAAAATTTTCTATATATGTATTATTTGCAGTTACTGTGATGCTGGAATAGCTTTTATTAGATGTTGATAGATTTATACAAGAAATGAGAGTGCATATATTTGTATTTCATGACCTTTGGTACATCACAGATGTACCTTCCATTTCTTTAACTGCACAATCTAATAAAGATCACTCATTCTTCAGCTGTACTATTTCACTAATCAGTAGTATTAATTGAACTGCCAAATATATGCACTCTTCCATGTTATTGACTGCATGGTGTTTGATCTTATGTTATGTTAGTCAGATATTGCACTAACAAGATTATACATTGTTTAGAGGTATTTATCATGCTGCGTGATATAACTTGTATTATTCAATTTTTTTTCCTGGGAGAGATAATAGAATTTACCTTTCACCAATTAAATATTGCTTTTATGCATTTGCACTCATGAAGTAAACTTCATTATCAATTAACGAGTTTCATAGACCAATACTTAGGATAATGAAGTATACTTTTTTAATTTAAAGTTGTAACTTATGATGCGGGCATGCTAATTGCTCAGATACGTTTGTGTAATACTGTTGTCATCTCTAATCTCATTTCAAACAGTCCCTGAAGGCAAATGGCTGACATGTGCTTCCATCCATTCATCATTCTATAGTTTTACTTCTATTTACTTCCAGAAGTTTTATTTATGAGCCTTTTCTGAGTTGTCGTATGTATTTACTGATTAACTACTTTGATTCTTCAAGAATGGGATAATTCAAGTAGATTCCAAAGCATTCTCTATCATGTGTTATACAGCTTATTAGTAAAGGTGGATTTCAGCAAGTATCTCTGAGCTCTTGCAAATCCCAGAGTCAAGCTAAAGGTGAGACCAGGTTTTAAGGCATTTGCCTGGAACCCAGAGGGCTTCTGCAGATGTACTATTCTTCTTTCTCTCTGACATCCTGTGACTATTGGAGGCTATGTGCTAATGCGAAGAAGCTAGAAAAAGAGTTAGAATTGCTGGGCAGATATGGTAACTGAGAAACAAAGCTGATGTGCACAGAAGCAGAAGGCATGTAAGTTGATAAGCAGGAAGTGGAGGTTTCAAGGAAGAGGTGTAGAAAAGCAAGGTAACTGTAGAAACAAAGCTTGAGTAATGCAATTGACAGATCAGAATTAGGATGCAAGAATATCCTAAGGCTGATAGAATCTGCATGGAAGGAAGGCTGATGAGGCAATGGAGCAATAGTCATTGAACTTTGCGTTTGAGTTGTAGCCCAGTATCTGACCAACTGCTTTCATTTAGCTCTGAATATTGCAGCTGTACATGGTGTGGTTAAAAATTGAAACAACAGGGGAAAAGGATTCCTTTTCTAAGGTTTGCAAGAGGCAGGTGATAAAGATCTCATAGGTAAGAATAGAAAAACTTGCACCTGCTCCAATGAATGAGATGTATGGTAAGAGGCAAAACTTGCACTTTTTCTCTCCCAGAGAATTTTTATTAAGCAAAATCCATGGAGAAATATAAAACATGATGCACTTTGAACCTCCTAAAAGCATATTTTTAATACTAATGCATGCACGTGCACACTGTTTTCTCCCTCTCTCAGTCACACTCCTGGCCCACCTCAGTTCTGAAAGAAAAGTTACTTTTCTTTCATTTTCAGATAAGTATGCTTGCACTTCTGATCTTAATGAAATGAACTTTCTCCCCCTCATTTCTGCTATAGATCTGGAAATTATAGCTCTGAGTGAGGTCCTGCCCCAGAATTATCAGTAAAATATTTCAATGAACAGGTCAGAAAGTCAGTCTGAGTTGTTATGTACTGGAAACCTGCTCATATTAATGCTAACTGTTGAGCTGTTACCTTGGAGACTGATGTGAAAAGAGTTTTTGCTCTAACAATTTAAGACAGAGTTTGATACTTAGATGAGAATGTACCTTGTCAAATCACCTTCTTAGCTCCTTCTGTAGCTCAGAGGGCAACTTAAATCTCTAGCAACGCTATTCATGTCCAAGGAGCCTTGGTGGGTCAGCCAAGTTGCTGCCTAAATCTGCAACCTTTTTCAACTTCAGGAATACAAATGCTTCTGGGAAACAAAGATGAAGTCAATAGCTCTCCTTTTATTGCCCGGTAAGAATGGGAAATACATGTATTTCTATTTTTACAACTAAGGCCACTTTTAATTCGCAGTAGGTTCTAAGTAATGCTTGTTCAAGGCTATATATAAGGCACCTGTTCTAAGAAGTGCATTTGATTGTGCAAGAAATGTATGGGGGTGTGTGTATGTGTAAGGACATGGGTGTAGTCAAGTATCAGTGGTTCAGGTAACAAATGAAGTAGCATGCTCAACATATATATTTTTTAAATACTAGCATAACCTCTTCCTTTGACCTGATCTCCAGACTTGCTAAAAGCATACAGCACATTTTTTGCATATGTCTGACAACAGGACAGATTTCATTCCACAAGCCACCAGTTGCCATCCTGCTAACCTTAAAAATTTGTGTCTAGAGGAACTGAAATATCTCTAGATATATTGAATGAATATTGCCTGGGTCTTCTAAATTAATTCTTTGAATTGTATTAGCTGTGAAGTTTTCTTATATTTCAGCTTCCTTTCTAGCAATAATTTCTCTTGGGGCTCTGGTTCAATTCATCTTGGACTTCTAATAAGGAACTGGTGAACTATAGTTAGAACTTCTGTGCAGATAGCTTCTCAAAAATTTCCACCCTATTTGTGAGCAAAAAAATTGGATGGGAAATACACAATTTCACCAAATTTCTCCAGGGAAAGGATACATTTTCCAACAATGACTGGGTTCACACAGTCCTGGGGGCGGGGGTAGGAGCCAGAGTGGCTTTTTTTTTTCACTCAGCATCTGTCAGTTACATGTTGGCATATTTCCATAATTATCCACGTCTGGTGTGGGTTGCCATGTTGACTAAGCCTAGACAGTGTGGGTAGTGATTTTTTATTTTTAGGGGAAACAGTTTGATTTTAACGCATCACACTTTGACTAATGCTCACAGCTGTTACGTTTCTTATAGTACAAATATAAATAAATTGTTATCACTGTTTTGTTTGTTTTTATTATGATTAGAGAGTGTCCAGTAGGACTGTTGGTGCAGTCTGTAAGATCAATAAATAAATAGTGTGGGTGGCTTCAAACTATCGTGAAACCCTGCAATAAGCCAGGGGTTGCAAGGCGATTAGGAAGTCACCCTCACCTCCTACCTGTGTGAGTTTGGACAGCATAGCAACCCACACCTGGGATGGATATTAATGGAAATGAGGCAACACATGACCAACAAGGGCAGGGAAATGAACCCTCCATGGCTGCTTCTCCCATTTCAGTCATGTGAAACTGGCCAGTATCTTACAGGTCGAGCTCACCACTCACAAGGTATAGCACAAGTTTTTTTTTTCCTTTTCCCCCTCTAAAGTTTTATTTTCCCCTGCCACTGTAGGTAGGAACAAGAACACCTGTTTTGGCAACCTGGCCCTCAACATCTTCTGGCAAAGTATGACTGAGCTCTAGTTGTCAGTCTTCAGTTGTTCAGCCCTTTCCTCAAGGTCTTTGTTATCAGTTATTTGAAATTTCTTTTATTGCTGCTTCTGATCTCACCTAAAATCTGTAAGGCGGCTGAAGGTAACATGATTTTTTTGTGTTGCTTACAGGACACTGCCTTAAAAAAGCCTAAAGAAGTGTTCAGGCTTCCCACAGACTTGACAGCATGTGATAATCGGCTTTGTGCATCACTTCATTTCACATCTTCTACCTGGGTCACCCTTTCAGATGGAACAGGAACATTGTATCTGATTCAAACAGGCCAGCGTGGTGATGGTTCATGTGAAAAGTGGGATGTAAGTCTTGTAGATTTGACAGCTTTCCTTTTGTATGGGATCTCAGAATACGCTTTGAAATCTGCTTCTTTCCCCAGGTTTTGGGGGTGTTTTGGTCAAGCTATGTTACTGCTTCCCTTTCACTTTTGCCTCAGTGTGAACAGGCTTGCCTCCCAGTGAATGCTAATCTCTGACACAATTCTTAAAGAAGGACTTGTGATCCCCAAAATCTTAACCAGTGTCATTTTCGATTTGTATAGGGTTCTGTAGCAACCAACTGGTTAGCAGCCACTGCGTAATGAAGCCTACCAAATGTAGAAGATCATTTTATTTGCTAAATACATGAATCTATTCTCACATTTCTGTGGCTATCAGTCAACAGATACATTCTGGATGACCTGCAGAGTAATTTAGTATAACAAATACCATATTAAATATAAAATATGTAGTATAAACTATGAAATCTAGGAAAAAGAAACCAAATGCACTGATTCAGGATGGTAAATACATGACTGAACAGTTAATTGGAAAAGAAAAAAGACTTTGGAGTTATTGTAGACAACAGGCTAAATATGAGCCAACAGTATGATTCAGCCACCAATACAGCAAATGGTATTTTGGGATGCATTAATAGAACTATTATTTCCAGATCACGAGAAGTAATAGTTCCCCTATACTACTCACTAGGTAGACCCCACCTGGAGTACTGTATCCGGTTCTGGGCACCAGGATTTAAGAAAGATGTAGTAAAATTAGGGTCCAGAGGAGGGCAGCAAAAATGATACAGGGTTTGGAAACATGATAGCCCTCTAACAAGTACCTCAAAGACTATCACAAAGAGGAAGTTCAAGATCTCAGAAGGTCAAAATACCAGAGTATAGGACGTGGAATCATCAATTCAAGTTGTGATAACCATGCTCAGGCTAGATAACAGGAGAAATTTCCTCACTGTAAGAGCAATGCGACAGTGGAAACCAGTTGCCTAGAGAGTTTGTGGGCTCTCCCTCACTAGAGACATTCAGAAAGGAACTGGACAGCTATCAGAGTGCAATGATGTAACTTGGTGTCCTGCAACAGCAGAGGCTTGGCGCCAGTGGCCTTCATGGCCCCTTCCTACTCTTCTATGCTTCTGTGTCACTCTGGATCTATGTCTTCAGCATAGTTTTTTAAATTAGTTGATTCTTGCAATGTGAAATTTGGCTTTGTTCACTCGTCATAGATCAGCAATTTATTTAGTATGAGATTTTAATATATGAAGCAAAAGAAATTTGTGAACATATTGCATTTAATTGCCTTTATATGGTCATTCATCATAGCAAGTGGTTTTATTGAGCTTTGAGAAATCCACTTGCCTTATTTCCCAGCAGCCTAGGTCATCTGAGCAGATGGATCAGAAATCTCAAACAACTGCCTAAACCAGCAATGGACAACTTCCAAAAAGTGTCAAAACTTCTGTATAGCACCAAACAGTGATATAGTAGTCCATTTTATTAAGTTTTTTTTTCCTAATATGGTGAACATTTAGAACAGAATACATGTTGGAAAAATTAGTAGACATTTGGAGAACAATAAGAGAACTTCAGCTATTGGGCGATATAGAAATTAAATAAATAAATAAATAAATAAAACAAGTGGCCCCTGAAGAAGGAAATTCTGTTCTGAAAGGCCATTGGGCATATGCTTGCCCAGAATATTTTGTCTTCTGGGAATATTTCTTCTTTTGTTCTAGTAAACAGTAAAGGCCATTGTGTTTTACTGGGAGTGCTCAGTTATTGGCTGGACACGGTTGGAAATAGAATATTTGGCGAGATGCGCGCCGGTCTGATCCACTGAGACAATTCTTGATAGCCATCGGCAGTAGCAGAATTCAGATATTCAGTCAGTTCTTGTCCTGTCAAATAGTATAGACAGGAGGTTGAAATTCTTCTTAAAGCTGTGCTGTTGCTGCTAATCTAAATATTACCCTCTTAGCATGAAATAATACTGACACACAGGAAAAACCAGATCTTGTGTTTCTTTTGCCACCATATTACCTACCTGATCTAGAAGTGAAAAGGTAAGGCTCTGGGAACATTAGTAAGTTGTATATCACCTACAAATTCATTAAAAAGTTCAAATGCTGTGGTACTTGAAATAATATATGAAAACTGCAGGCATCTGATTAAATATTTTTGTAGATGTGAATAAAAGAAATCTTAAAATTGAATGAGAAATGATAATTTCAGGAAGCTATAAACACCTTATTGTATTCTCTATCCCAGTGATCTTGAGTAGGTGGCTCTTGTGTATGTGTCAGTATATTACTGGAGGTTTGCTTCTTTGAGGGTGGACTTAGGCACTAAAGCACACATAGGACTGCCTCCAAAACCAAGATTCTTGGCCAGCAATATCTAGAACCTTGGACCAGCTTCTCTCTCCCCATGCTGTGTTCCTGTGTAATCCTGAGGTTTTTGTTCTTTTTGAAGCATGCAGTGTGCATTCAGAAACGTAGAAACATAAAACTTAGAAACAGCGAGTCAGAAGGCGTCTCCTGGGCCACCTAGTCTGACCCGCAGCTCCAGCCAGCTCTGCTCACGACACGCCCACCAGAAAGCACTGCTCAGTAGCTTACAGGAATCCTTCTCTCTTCCAGATAGTATTCAGTGAAGAATTTGAGATCCCCTTTGTTATAGTCCACAGTATCTCCTTTCTTCAGCTGGATGTACATTCAGTAGATGTTTTACTCCTGCGAATAGAAAAGGATGAATTGGATATACAAGGTAGTGGCTTCCATGTTTCCTTGGAGTGGGTCACAGTTGCGAAAAAGGGTAAGGATGGTGAGCATTTCAGTTGTGTGGGCCTTTTGTGTGTGTTAGGAGATTAAAAATGCTTATGTACTTATGAACTTCCAATCTAGTGGATCTGGTAGTAGAATGATGAATATGGTTATCCAAGGATCTAGTCATCCAATTGCTAGACCTTTAAAAGAAAAGGTCTAGCAATTCTAACATAAAGCAGCAATTTTAAGCAGTCTTATTGTAATCCATGGCATTGACTCTGCATACGCAAAACAGCCATAGTATCAAAATGGATTATTATGGATTGTTTGGGTTTTATATGTATTTATTGGATGTTGATTTGTAAACTGTCCAGATACACACAGTGTAATTGGATGGGATAAAAATACCCAAATAAATAAAATAAAAAGGGAACATCTATGCTAAAAAACTGACAGTGCATGCAAGCCTCACTTTGCTCCAAAATGGTGGTTCTGGGCTTGGGGTGCATTGTGGGGAAGGAATATGTTCACTCCGTTTAAGTGTCTTGGACTAGGTTTCTCTTGATACCAGGCCTTGATGCTTGTTTCCCCAAAGTTTCAGTGCGTCACCTAAGAGCCTCTTTTTTTTTTTTTTTTTAGCGGGGGCAGCTTGGGTCATTTCCTATTTGCACCTCTCCCTCAAAAGAACACCTTGAGATAAGGTAGCCTTCTACTCACAAGTACTATATTTCAGTAGTGCTTTTCACCCCAGTGATCTTTATATTTCTGTGTTCAGCAGACTGGTTGCCTGGCAGCTATTGCTGGCATCCAATTTTATGGAATTCCTTAAGTCTTTGAGACTCTGGTTACTTTATAAGCAGCAATGTTGTAGAGGATTTGGGGAAAGCAGGGAACTGGCAAGTAATGGCACGCTACCACATAGTATGAATATAATAGAAGGTTTGGGAACAGCAGGTTTGGGAACAGATCCCAGAGTGCTAGAAAGCCTTAAAGAGCAGCATGAATACTGCTAGAATAGGATGAGAGTGAGATTCTAGGAATCATTCACAGTCCTTCAGGTAACTGTTGCAGAATTTGCAACCACACCTGTCGTAAAATACTATTTGGATTAAACGGACCTTGGTCGGGAGGGTAGGTGTGAGGAAGTACTCTAAAATTTGTCCTGTAACAATGGGGTACTTTGCTTCCACAGCTAGGTAAGTTTTACTACTTTGTCAAATGCTGCTGGGGTTTACATACCATCTATCATGCAGTGAATGCTAAATATATTGGGGAAGTCTAAGAGACATCCATTGCTGTACGCTGACATTTGCAACAAGCTATATGCATGGGTGCAGGGAGAGAGATCAATCAACATTGTGGTTGGATGTTTAGGGATGGAAGGATTGACAAATTGAAAGGTATTGCTTTTCTTTATACCAGGTGATCAAAGGTATGAAATTTCCAAACGCCGAGTTCTTCAAGGGAAATCAGTTCCTCACTATGCAGCTATAGAGCCTAATGGAGATGGCCTGATGGTTATCTCTTACAAGCCTTACACACTTGCACAGAATGATGAGAATAAACTGGAGGAAAGTGAAAAGGAGAAAGACGAAGAGAACAAGAAAGGTAACCTTGCATTCCTGGCCATAGTTATTTAATGTGCTTGTAAGCCATCCTGTCCTGAAACTACAGTGTTTAAAATAATGTCCAATACTGCAAATGTTAAAACATCCCATTCCAGACCATAACAAGCATTTTCCAAAGGCATTAAGACATCAGGATACTTCATACTTGAGTGGCAGGCTTCCATAACTCCTTTCTCTATGTCCGTGCACATGTTAATGTTAAGAAGGGTGAAGGAAACTATATTTTCATCACCATTCTCCAGTCTCTCAAATATTACGACCCTCATCAGTTCAAGGCTTTATGTGCCACAATCCCCACTAATTAAGGCCACTGCAGATGCTGAAAAGCTAATGCAACATGTTTTTATGTGTGAGAGAGAGAACAGGAGGGAAGGAATGGGCCTGGCAGATGGGTATCCCTCCCTTGGAAGAGTTGTATGGTAGTCTAAGCTTAGAGGTTATGGGTCGTATCCTTATGTATGTGCAGCTTGCAAAAATAGACTTCAACCTCCCTACCACTCAGGATGTCATACAGAGGGCAAGGGGGACCTTGCCAGATAGGATGAGCTGTGATAAGGGGCAAAATAGTTTCATCAGTGGACCCCTTCTGTCCATAAAGGGGAGATCCTTGATCCTGGCTTCTTGATCAGGTTCATAGAAGTAAGGTCTGTGCCCTCTTAACAAATCGAGTTCGTAAAAAGCAAGCTGTTAACAAACCTTAAGCCATCCAAGGGCACAATGAAGGAATTGTTAAGACAATTAAAAAGTTAATGCATTCTTATAATCCTTTCTTATAAGGGATTAGCAATCTAAATTTTGATTTATACATTTTGTTGTCATTCAAAATTCTAAGCCTTGACTTGACTAACCAAATTGTGGTTTGTTTGAAAGTCCAAACCAACAGCTGGGCACCTTTTCTGTTAAGATTTAGTGGATTGCAGATTTCATATACTTCTTACAGTTCAGCAGTATGTTTTTAAAGTTTTATCTATGTAGCAGTCAGCCAACTTTGAAAATGAGCAAACTGCAATTTGATTCTCTGAAAGGCTGAATAACTTGATGACCATTACCTCAGGATATAGCCAACTAAAAAGGACATGCCTCAAAACACGAACGGATAACTAAAAGGTGGCAGAAAATGATTGCTTCCCCTTTCAGCCTGCACAGCATGTCATACGGTTGATTATGCGAAGCGGTGTTGATCTGAAGCCACAGGGATGGCTGGGATGCTGAGTTGATGCCACTACAGGATAATCTCACATTGTATTTTTTTGTTTTATGCAAGGGGTCTCTTCTAATTTACATCTTGTTTTTGTACAAGTTTGCCGTGCAAAGATACAACAGTTTTTATAGACGTCTCTCTAAAGAGAAGTGCATTCATAGCTTAGTGGTAGTCAACCTTTTTAGCTGAAATCTAAGTCTAAAGAATGCATTGCAATGCATAGCCAGCATAAAGTATGTCAGAGAGGTTTCATCCATGACCTGCTGAGCTGGGAATTCTGTGCCATGGCCAGGCTCGTGGGCTGTGCTGTAGCTGAGAAGGGATGTAGCACAGTAGCAAAGAGCATTTGCATTTAGAAGGCCTCGTGTTCAGTCTCTGGCATTTCCAGAGAAAGCTCCAAAAGTCTCCTGTTGGACAGCCACTGTTAGACAGTGTAGTGAACAATAGTCTGAACTGTGACTATGAACAAGCATGTGCTAGTTCTTACACTGCTGCTAGTGGGATTAGCTGAAGAACTCAGGGTTTACCAGCAGGAGGAGCCAAGCAGGAGTGTTTGAGCCATGTAACATTCTGGCTTGGCTGGGACATTCGAAGTTTTTTCCCAACAGTCATAGCCTATTCAATCAATAATTTACAGGAATTCTGTGCTTGAGGTGCAATTTGCACTTCGAAATTAATGTTCAAACTTGGCAATAGACAGATGGTTGCCTTCAGAAGTGACGGTTGCACATCCAGTTCTACTTTCCTCACCTTAGCATCTAGAGCAACTCAACCATATCTGTATGTCACAATGTGTGTTCCCCTTCCCCTCTTGGGCACAGCCAGTGCTGTGGTGTAGGCATACATAGAGCAATGCAGTGAGGCCAAGGAAGGTAGGAACTAGAAGGCAAAAAAACAGTTGCAGGAAGAAAATCTGGCAGCAGCAGCAGCTTTCTTCCGGTGACAGTGAACTAGGAACTATAATATTTTGTTTGACTTTTTAAGTTCAAAAAAAAGCTGGTTTTCCTGAACACCTTTCCACAGAATTTGCAAAAGTGATCTTATTGCCTCGGTTTATAACCTACTATCTATTACTTTCTTGCATTTCCATTTGTAGAACCCCTGTACTACTGGAAACAGACTGAAGATGATTTGACAATTACTCTTCACATCAACAAAGAGTTGACAAAAGAGGACATCCAAGTGCACTTCTCTCCAGATTATCTTCGTGTGGCAGTGAAAGATGCGTCCGTTGTTCTAGAAGGAGCTCTTTTTTCATCAATTGATCATGAAAGTTCTACATGGATAATTAACGAAAAGAGGTGAGACAGTCTGATCTGGTTTCCAATTTTGTGCCTACATCGGTATTGGAACAAAAAATCGAAATTTAGTGTTGAGCTCTAGGAAACTGGTCATTAGCAGGCAACTTCCATACTAGTTAAAGGAAAAGGGATATGTCATTCCTTGTATTTGAGAAGAAGTCAGAAATCATGTTAACTAGAATGATGGATTTTTGTGCTATAGAAGCTGGCATATCTGTATCCTCCCATCCCTATAGTTACGGTCATACATGAATAAACTGCAAATTCACCTGCAAGTACTCACAGAGGTTTCTGATTCATCCTTCCTTTCTTCCTTTTTTCATCTTTCTATATAGAGCACCCCCTGTGATTTCTAGCAAGCTGAGCTACAGTAAAAAAGAGTTTCAAAAGCAGCTTTTGATGAGGAAGCAAAGGAATGCTGTGTCAGGTGTAATGATAGTTTGTTCTTCTAGACAAGGGTATTTTGGTCAGGGCTTGTGCAAGTGGAAGGAAGCTTTATGCAGGACACACACCTTCTTTCAGCTAGCTCACAGCATTCCCCAGGAAACCTCTCCTGAAGATTGGGAGACTCTCAGTAACAGCATGGAATGGGATTTGTGGCTAAGGAGGGGTGGAAAATTGCTTAATACCGTGGCAGCTTTAGAACCTATTTTCCCTAGTATAGCATACAGAGCCTTCAACGTTGTTTGAATGACAGCAGCCATCTTGTGAAAGGTTAAATTCTAGTTGCCACAATTACAGCCAGAAGCATCTCAGACCTTTAACTATACTTTAGCTAGGGAAGATGCCATCACTCATTCTTTGCAAGGAACCTTCTTTTTACCTGCTTTTATTATGCTATCTGTTTTCCTTCCATCCTTCCTTCCTGTCTGTCTTTCTCTTAATTTCTCCAATCATTTTCATTTATTCTTCCCTCTTTCATATTATTTTCATTAGACAAGTTTTGGAAAACATTGATACATTGGAATGAGGAGCTGCCCTGGCTTCTTGAGCAACTGAAAGAAAAAAAATGCTTGGAATAATCACTGCAACACAGGCTCAGAAGCACTAAATTGTCCAAAGTCACTTAGGTAAACTGTGGTTAAGCAAATTATCCCAGTTAAATTCTATGCCTATCCAGTGCTAGAGATTGTTAGGAATTCAGTTCAATCAATTTGCATATCAGCCTTTGGCTATACACTTCGTTCTATTGTGGGATCAAGCTAAGCATTTAAAACTAGTAGTACCATTTCCTTTTTCTTTGAAGATCACAATGTGAGGATCCAGACTCTTCTTTAAATAGAACGTTTAGTCATAAGTTATATTGGTCATAAGAGTGCAAGCTTCTTTTAATTAGATTCACTTGTTGAAAGTGAAAGAATAATTTTAATGCTGTTTGTTTGTCCAGCATTTTTCTTCCAGCTCCCAGGGTTCCAGGATGATTTAGCTAGCTAAATTTTTATAAACCCATCAAGACTTATATGAAGATCAGTTTTGACAACAAATAAGCTTTACATTTATCTTAAATGTAACATAAGCAACTGAAAACAAATGTGTGGTTACAGCTCTCTGTTCATAGAAACGGAGACAATGTTGACTGATCGGCTATTACAGATTGCTTATCTGATTTGTACATTATAGCCTTTGTAAATACTATTTTTTCTTACTTTAAATATTACTCTATTCATGTCCCCTCCTACAGAAAAGAAAAAAGAGAACAAACATTAGCATGTTGACAGTTCTGTTAAGAAGAAAGGCAAAGGGAAGTCAGAGCAAGCAAATTACATGCAGAGGGCCCCAGGTTAAAGCAGGGCTGGGAATGACCCCATCTGCAAGCCTAGGATGCTGCTGCCAGTCAGCATAGACAATACTAAAGTATATGGACTATCAGGCTTGGTAGAATACAGCTTACCGTGTTCTAGAACACAATGTGAAACTGAAATATTATCTACTCAGAAGCTTCTGCTGAGCTAGGCTTCCCTGCATTGCTACACAGCCTGTGTAGCAGAAATACACTATCTCCTATGGAAAACTCATATAATGCTGTTTTCTCCAAGGGCTTAGGCACAAGTACAGCCATAGCTGGATGTTCTTACTCTGTTGGTGAATTAGCAATTGATTGCAAAAAAGTGGTAAGACAGTTGGGTAGCATCATAGTAAGCTTTGGCATTCCAGTGCACCTCAGGTTTGAGAAGAGTGTGATTACCCAGATGGCCTCTAGTGAACTAGAGAGAGAAGCAAATATATATTTTTGAAACCCATCTGCTTTAGGCCATGCTGTTGCTCAGTGATACAATCCTACTCATGTGCCTTTGAAGCAAGGCCCATTTGAAATCAGATGGCATTACCATATAAAGATAGGACCAGCAGCATGTTCCATTTAGAACTCAATGAATTAGGAGGTTAAAAGTGGATTTGTTACATTTGCTCACATTGCAGGAGTTATGAGCCCTGGGTTATAGTTGAACATCTTTTCTGCTCACAGAAGAGAATTTTGTTCATGGAACAGACTTTTTCTGTTTCTACCTTCCCTCAGTCAGTTATTCCAAGTCCCCAAAACCCATTTCCTGAGGCCTGGGGACCAAGTTGTGATTTTTGTATAGCACTGTTTCTGCTATGTCCTCAGCCAAGAACAGGGTGGGTTATGGGAAGGTGAGCCAGAAAAACTGGGATAAGCAAAAATAAAAGACGTGGCCCTTGGACATGTTGACATGCTTTCTACTTATACAAAAGCATCTTGGGATCCCAACTGCTCCTTTTTTCTATAGTTAAAGCAATACACAGGGCATATGTTGATGATTATTCTCTATTCTCCTAGAGCAGGTATCCCACCTTACTCAGATCTTCATGAAATGTAGTCCCCTTTGAGAATGCTGCTTTTTATACATGTAAGAGTTACACTGTATAAATTAGAAAACAGTTTTCAGACTTGCTGAATTGATCTCGTTTTGTTCCAATAGAGCCTATGCCTTGTACTAAGTTTCTTAGGCAGGTAACCTGTTCTTAGTGACTGTCCAGGCCATTTTGTAATAAGCCTTGTCCCCTGTTGCAGCTTTTTCTAGTGGTGTCCACACTACTTGTTTAAATTTGCAGCTGTGCCAACTAGTAACATTTGCTTCAACTTAACTTGCAGAATTGAATCCTACTTTCAAACAAAATGGGGATTACTTTGGAGAAGAATTTGGATTTTTTGTCTGTACAATGCTCTTGCTTTTTGTACAGACTTCCTCTTGGATATGAGCTCATTGGCTCTCCTGTATCTTCCTGAAGGTTATTGCATGGGGATTTAGCTGTGTGAACTCACCTGGGATTAACTAAAGAATTATTCCCTGTTTTAAGCTTATCTCCAGAGCCATTTGTGCAAGAAACCTATTTTAAAATCATATGTGAACATGGGAAATTACCTGAATGTTAAATTTTGTACCTGCATTTAAAATCTATGATTGCTCGTTGTTATTACCTTGGTATACTGAACAAGGACAATCATTGGAAACAGTTTAATGGCTGCTCAGAAACAGAGTCGTAGCTCATTGGCAGATCACAGGTTTTGCATGTAGGAGGTCCCAGTTTAATCATAGACTTTTCCAGGTAGAGCAAAGGAAAAAGTCCTGGGGAGTTACTTCCAGGCAGTAGCGGGTAGACAACACTGATCAGTGATCTAATTTTTGTTAGATAGCTTCCAGTGTTACTGTTATTTTACAGTGGAATTAATATGTTCATACGGCATCTGAAAATCATGCTATAGATGTAGTCAAAGCATGTTGACAGGTCTGTTGCACCATTAAGGAAATTAGTTGATTGTATCTGTATGATCTTCCATATGAGAAAAAAATAATTCAAAAGAAACACTTAATTTTTATATACATGCATGTGTTACAGATGGCATCTTGGAAACAGCACTTCATTTTTGTGTTAACTCAT